TTTCCTCTCTTCCTGTCACTAAAGGCTTTGCAGAAGAGACCAACCCCCACCCCACTAAAACCTCCTTTCAGGTCATTGTAGAGAGCAATGAGGTCCCCCCTGAGCCTCCCCTTCTCCACACTCAACAAGCCCAGTTCCCTCAGCCATCCCTCAGCAGACATGTTTTCCAGAACCTTCCCCAGCTCCGTTCCCTTCTCTGGACACGCTCCAGCCCCTCCAGGGCCTTTTGGCACTGAGGGCCCAGAACTGGACACAGCACTCCAGGTGGGGCCTCCCCAGTGCCCAGCACAGAGGGGCAATCAGTTCTCTGCTCCTGCTGGCCACACTCTTCTCCACAAAGGCCACGATGCCCTTGGCCTTCTTGCCCCCCTGGGCACACTCTGCCTCATATCCAGCCGCTGTCAAGCAGCACCCCCAAGTCCCTTCCTGCTGAGCAGCTCTCCAGCCCCTCTGCCCCCAGCCTGGAGTGTTCCAGGGGGTTGTTGGGACCCAAGGGCAGGCCCTGACACTTGGCCACATTGATCCAGCCTGTCCAGATCCCAGAGTATGTTCCAGGAAGGACATGGTGGAACCTCATGGAAACAAGGACCATTGTGACACTGTAGGGCTTTCTGGAGCCAAAGGAGCCCTGGGACACTGGGCAATCTCATGGAATCAAGGAAGCACTGTCACCCTGGGAAAACTCCTAGAATTCAGGGCCCAGTGTGACACTGCAGGTCCCCATGGAACAAAAGGAACCCTGGGACACTGCGGAAACTCATGGAATCAAGGGACCACTGTGACATTGAGGGGGCTGATGGAATCAGGAGTCCATTGGGACAATCCAGGGCCTCATGAAATCAAAAAAATTCTGGGACACTGTCACACCTCCTGGAACCAAGGGTTCCCACTGGAACCCTTCTGGAACCTTGGTCCTTCTGGAACCAAGGGAGCCCTGAGATATTTCTGAACCTCCCAGAATCCAGGGGTCATTGGGACCCTGCAGAACCTCCTGCATTCCAGTGGTCCTTGTGAAACTGCAGGCTCTCCTGGAATCCAAGGATTCCTGGAACACTGTAGAATTCAGGGAACCAAAGAGGCCACTGTCCCACTGCAGCTCCTTCTGAAGCACAAGGGACCCTGGGACAATGGGAAATCTCCAAGAATCCAAAGGGCATTTTGGGACTGCAGGGCCTCCTGGAACTAAAGGAACCTTTGGAGACTGGGGAAGCTCATGGAATCCAGGGGCCATTGGGACATGTGGGGCCTCATGAACCAAAGGAACCCTGAGAATTTCTGTGGGAAGAAGTTAAGGCGGGAGCTGCTGCTCTCTGTTTATTCGAATCAACAAGGAGTGTTTTGGCCCTGACTGGTGTTTTCCATCCAGAGAGTGCTGTTTGCCAAAGTGGAAACCACTTGGAATGCTCTGCATGGTAGCCTGTGTTTTTCTCTGGTGGCTGAACACAGGCAGCACATGAGGGGAGGGGAATGTGTGGGATCAGGGCACTGCTTTGGGGCCATGCTGGGAATTCCAGTGGACTAAAAGACAAAGCCCAGGCGCTGCTTCCAAAGGAACCCCAATGAAAAGGGGGACACCGGAAAGATGGGCGGACAAGTCCCGCAATGGAACTCTGTGTGTGCAGCCTCATTTTCTCCTTCAGCACCCACGAGAGAGGGGGCAAAAAGTGGAGGTTGGGACCCCAAAACTGTTCACAGCAGAAATTGGGGATTGAGGGGACAATGGGAAAGTGGAAGGAACAGGGAGAAGGGCGGAAAAGGGGAAGTGGTCTGGATGGTCCGACGGTCCCATGGGGGTCTTTGGGCCCAGAGTTGTTGGCAAAGGGGAGTGGACCCCTGAGCTCCCAAATTATTGTGGGGTGGTGGATCCAATCTCAGCCTTCGATCATGCCAACACTTTCAGTTTGGAGGAATTACAGAGGTGTGACAAAACAGTTTTTGTCCCCCACGTTTTAATGATGGTAAATCAGATCTATTGATAGAAACGAATTATTTAGGGTTACAAATGATCAGACAAAAGATCTTCATCACAATTATTTACTGCACAATACAAACACTAAAACTACCAGGAGCACAGGACGAGATAGGACAGTGCTCTACACTAAAGCAATTGTTGAAGCAATTCTACTCAAGCTGGCACAAAAGCAATAATTCTTAATTAGAGATGGATGGAGTTCCCCCAGACCAACGCTCATGGGGAGATCTCTGCTCTCAACCTCCAGGACTGACCGCACAAGAGGGGTTCTGTTGGAAGAAGTTGCCCCTGGAAAAGGGGAATGGCCCTTTGGGGTTGAAAGGGATGGAGTGACAGTCACTGGACTCCAGGGATTGCCTCATCATCAGGGGTTTCATTCGGGGTGGAAGCAGCGGCCAAAGCTCTTCCTGCAGTCAGGGTTCTTCCCGCAGTCAGGGCACTGGTAGGGCTTCACTTAGTGGTGGGTCCGTTCGTGTCTGGTCAAGTGAGAGCTGTGGGTGAAGCTCTTCCCACATTCCAAGCATTTGTAAGGCCGTTCCCCAGTGTGGAGGCGCTGGTGACTGATTAGGGCAGACTTGTGGGTGAAGCTCTTCCCACACTCCCCACACTTGTAGGGCCTCTCCCCAGTGTGGATGCGCCAGTGGGTGACGAGGGTGGAGTTCCGGTTGAAGCCCTTCCCGCAGTCGGTGCAGCGGAAGGGCCTCTCATCCGTGTGCGTCCGCTCATGCAGGAGGAGATTCCAGTTGGTCCGAAACCTCTTCCCACATTCCAGGCACTTGTAGGGCCTCTCCCCAGTGTGGATACGCTGGTGGGTGTGAAGGTGGGAGGTCTGGCTAAAGCTCTTCCCACATTCCCCACATGTGTAGAGTTGTTCCCTGGTGTGGATGCGCTGGTGTTTGCAGCGGCTGGCTCTGTCACTGAAGCTCTTCCCACATTCCTTACACGTGTAGGGATGTTCCCCAGTGTGGATATGCTGGTGTTTAATCAGGCTGGAGCTCCGCCTGAAGCTCTTCCCACATTCCCCACATGCATAGGGCCGTTCCCCGCTGTGGATGCGCTGGTGTCGGATCAGGTTGGAGCTGTGCCTGAAGCTACTCCCACATTCCTTACATGTGTAGGGCCTCTCCCCAGTGTGGATGTGCTGGTGGCTAAGGAGTTGGGTGCTCCTCCTGAAGCTCTTCCCACATTCCAAGCACCTGAAGGGCTTCTCCCTGCTGGGAGGTAGCTCAGGGACCACCAGCTCAGAGCTCCCCCTCAAGCTCTGGCCGCCTTCCCGGCACAGGCTGGCTCTTTCCTCCTCAGAGCACCCTGGGATGGCTTTGGAGCCCCTCCTGCAGGGGGATCTCCGGCCCTTTTCCTCCCCACTGCCTTCCTGCGCCGGGGAGCCCTTCAAAACAGCCTCTCCCACCAGGGTCTCACGGGGGGATTTGTCCTCCGGGCTCTCCGCCCTCAGCTCGGGGCCTGGGGCAGGAAGCAAGAAGGACAGGGAGGGGATTTGCCTCCGGCCCACAGGGAAGGCCAAGGACATCCCCCCAACTCCGGCCCTGGCAGGACGGCGGCGGCAGCGGGGTTGTCCTGCAGCCGGGGCCATGCTCGGCTGACAGAGCCAGCACAACACCCGCCCAAAGGGCCACTGACTTCCTCCTCACCTGCCTGGGGGGCCCAAGGCATCTTCCTCTTCCTCGCAGCCTCCTCCTCCATCCGCCCAAGCTTTGGGAAGGACAAATCCTGATTGGGGGGGAAAACAAGGGCTGAGCGCGTTGGTTTGGGGGTTCCTCCTGCCCAAGTCCATCCCTAGAACTCACCAGGCATCCTGTGTCCATAAAAACCTCCAAAACACCAAGATTCAGCCTAGAGAAACCCAAACCACCGAGATTCAGGCAAAAAAACCCTTTAGAAATAGAAAGAAGACCCTCACCACTCCAAACTGCAAAAAGTTGAGATTCAGTTAAAAAATACTCCAAAATATGAAGATTAGCCCAAAAAATCCCTCGCAAAAATGCCCCCTCTCTGGTCTCTCCCCTCTGGGGTTTGGAGGATCTCCCCTGTCTGGGATGCTGGGGCTCCCACTTAGGGATGCTGGGAGTGTTGGGGGTCCCAAGGTCCCCTTCTCCTCTGACTCTCGTGTTTGGGATGCTGTGTTGCCAGAAATTCCCCCTCTCCAGGTTCTCCACTTTGTTGTCCCGAGGGTCCCAGGGGTCCCCACTGTCCAGGTTTTCCCTTATCTGCGCCCCCTCCCCAGGTTCTCAGGGCTTTGCAGCTCTCCCCTCTCTCCAGCCTCCCTCGCTCTCAAGGGATCAAGGCATGGGGACATCAAGGCACCCCGACAGTAACCCCGCTCCTGCTCTCCCCCCTCCCCTCAGCTCCCTTCTGCCACCCCTTTCCCATTGGCCCCCCAAACTCTGGCTCCCCCCAGTTCCATTTGGGGTGACCCACTGCCCCTCGTGCTCCCTTTGGGGGTCCCACCCACTCTTTTCCCTTCTCTCACCCCTTTCCCATCGTGGCTGCTCCGCTCACCCGACAGCAGCAGGAAGGGCAGGGACAGGGGCGGAGCAGCAACAGCAACAGTAGAACAATCACCCCCCCCCCCCGGGGGCCCGGGAAAAGGGGGAAACCCCCAAAAAAATCCTTGTGGTAGCATGGGGGGTGGAGACATACTCAGGCTGCCAGTACAGATTTCCCTGCAACATCTGCAGTGAGTCAAGCTCTGCAGAGGAGATTGTGCCCCATGGATGGGATTGCAGAGGGGCCCTCAGGTCCCCAGGATGGATCAGCAACCAGGAACAGACACAAAAGGCCCCCCTGAAGATTTCTGGGGGTAGTGCCCTGTAGGGAGGGGACAGTGTCACCCCACCAGGGCGGGGCTGGCAAGTGGGAGGCTGCTCCAGGGCTCTGCAAGAGGCCTCGTGCTCTGCTGGGCCCCAGCACTGCCTGGTACCAACACCCCGGGCTGCCCCCGGCCCTGGGCAGCTCTGCTGCCACAGGTTGTGCCCTCCTCGTGGCCCTGCAATGGCCCTGCCTGTCCCTCACCCGTGGCCCTGCCCGTGGCCCTGTCCCTTGGCTCTCTCTCTGCCAGCTCAGTGTGGGGCACACGGGCTGGGGGTCCCTCCCAAGCTCCCCGGGCAGCCGGCGTTGGCTGGGGGGATGTGAGGGCTGGGCCTGCTCAGCACAGCCCCGGCCTCGTGCCCAGCGCCTCTTTCCTGCCCCACACAAGAGCTTCCCGGCCCCCCCAGGGCTCCCCTGCTGCTGCCTCTGCTCCTGGCCCTGCCTTTGCTGCTCCCTTGGCTGGGGCAGCGGCTGCAGGGGGGGATGGCAGCAGCTTCAGCTCCACGGCACTTCTTGGGGGGAGCTCAGCCCAGGGGGGACGGGCAGGGACCTGATGGGGATGGACAGGGGCCCAGCAGGGACAGCCAGGGCCTGCAGGGGAAGGCACAGGGACAACCTGGACCCCCACACTGCCACTGCTGTCTCTGCTCCTCCTTGCAGGCTCCGTGGCCAGGCACAGTTTGTGTTCCTGGGTGCCACCATCTCAGCACTTGCAGCCGCTCAAATCAGCGCCCGCAGCTCTGCAGCAAAGCCCCAGCTCACCTGGCACACAGGGGATGGACACAGCACCTGCTCGGGGATGAGTATTCACAGTTTTTCTTCTTCCCCACCACGGGGCTCTCCTTCCTCAGCAGCACCTCTGCCTTGCACTTACTCTCAGCCTCACCTCAGGGACAGCTCTGGGCTCACCTCCGCGCCACTTCTCAGCCTCACCTCAGGGCCTGGGCTCAAGGACAGGAACCTGCAGGGAGGGGACATCATGCGCAAGCTGAGGGCTGCCTCAGAGAATCACAGAATCAGCCACATTGGAAAAGACCTACGAGATCAAGTCCAACCCTGCATCCAACCCCGCCGTGCTTCCCAGACCATGGCACTGAGGCCACATCCACTCTCACCTTCAACACCTCCAGGGATGCTGACTCCACCCCTTCCCTGCCCAGACCATTCCAAGGCCTGATGACTCTCACAGCAAAAAATTCCTTCCTAATACCCAACCTAAACCTCCCCTGGCACAGCTCAAGACCCAGCCCTCTTGTCCTACTGCTGCTTCCTGGCACAACAGCCCCATCCCCACCTGGCAGGGACTTGTAGAGAGTCAGGAGGTCTCCCCTGAGCCTCCTCTTCTTCAGCCTCAACACCCCCAGCTCCCTCAGCCTCTCCTCACCCCACTTGTGCTCCACTCCCTTCCTCAGCCTCGCTGCTCTTCTCTGCACCTGCTCCAGCCCCTCCAGGGCCTTCCTCAACTCAGGGGCCCAGAGCTGGACACAGCACTCCAGGGGTGGCCTCACCAGCGCTCACTCCAGCCCAACAATCCCTTCCCTGCTCCTGCTGACACACTCTTCCTCACACAGGCCACCATCCATTGGCCCTCTTGGCCACCTGGCCACACTCTGTCTCCTCTTCAGCTTCCTGTCCATCCACACTCCCAGCTCCCTTTCTGCCTGCCTGCTCTCCAGACGCTCTGGCCCCAGCCCGGGGGGCTGACGGGGCTTCTTGTGGCCAAAGGGCAGGACCCGGCCCTTGGCCTGCTGGAACCTCATCCCCCTGGAATCAGCCCATGGATCCAGCTTGGCCAGGTCCCTCTGCACAGCCCTCCTGCCTTCAGCACATCAACACACCCCCAGTTTGGTGTCACCTGCACATTTGCTGATGAAATGCCTGGTTCTGCAGCAGCTGCAGATGCTCAAGGGGCAGCAGGACCAACTCAGGGGCCTGGGGGGGCCTGGGGGGCTTTGGGGTCTGGGAGGGTCCTGGGGGAGCTGGGGAGGGGCTTTGGGGATTGGGGGTACAAACCAGGACAGACCAGTACAGACCAGTATAGACCAGTACCTCCTCACTGCTCCCCAGATCTCTCCTGGAGCTGGGCCACATTGTCCTGGGACACCTGAGCCCCCCCCCCAGTGGCCTCCGAGTACAACCCAGTGCCTCCAGTACAGCCCACTGTGTTCCTGTCCCAGGGTGCTGGGTGATCCCTCTTTAGGGGGGTTGGAAGGGATTTGAGGGGGAGCTGTGGGAGATCTGGGGGGATTTGGAGGGGTTGGATGGGGATTTGGGGGTTTTGAGAGGCATTGGGTGTATCTGGGAGAGTTAAAAGGGTCTTGGGGGCATTGGGGGGTCAAAGGTATCTGGAGGAGAGGAGATTAAAAGAAAAAAAGGGAGGTTGGGGGACATTTGGGGGGGGTTAATGGGCTGTGGAGGGGGAGAGGAGGGGCTTCCCTACGAGCAAGTGAGTCCTGAGACCCCCTTTGTGTCCTCAAGACTCTTTTGGTGTCTCCAACTCCCCCCTTGGCACCCCCAATTTCACTGTCCCCAAATCCCTCCCCACTGTCCTCAAACCCCAACCCTGATCTCCCCAACCCTCCATCTCACCCCAGGAGCCCCCCTGGACCCTCTGAACGAAAACACTCCCCCACACACACTCACAGAAAGGCCAAGGGCATCTGGGGACACATTGGGGACAGTTGGGGGGCTTTGGGGGGCACTGGATGATTACTGGGGGATACTGGGACACACTGGAGGGAACCAGGGGGCACTGGGAGGGACGGGGGGTTACTGAGAGACACTGGGAGGGCACTGGGAGGGACTGGGGAGTTACTGGGGAATTACCAGGACACCCGGGGGAGACACTGGGAAGTTACTGGGCCATACTGGGGGTTACTGGGTGCTCACTGCAGGATCACTGGGCCATACTGGGGGGCAGTGGGAAGTCACTGGGACACACTGGGTGGTTACTGAGGGGGTTACTGGGCCATACTGAGAGTCACTGGGAGGTCATTGGGATATACTGGGGGCACTGGGATCCCCTTACCCACATGTGGTACATCTCCCCCCCTGGGGGCTGGGGGAACCGCTGAACCCTACTGCTGGACTTTAGGGGACCCCCTAAAATCCCAGAAATCCCCCTCTTGACCCGTTGAAACCTCCTCACGGTCCCCTCATATCCCCTCAGAGACCTCATCCCTCCCCAGCACCCCCTAAACCCTCTCAGTGACCCGCAAAACCCACCTGGGACCCCACAAGCCCATTCAGGGACCCCCCAGTCCCCCTCACGGACCCTCAAAACCGTCTGGGACCCCTTAAACTCTCTAGAGACCCCAAAACTGACGAAAAGGTCCTCGCAAAGTCCCCCAGGAACCTCAACCTCCTCACAGACCCACAAAGCCCACCTGGGACACCCCAAATCTCCTCGGAAACCAAAACCCCCTCAAAGACCCCC